GGAGGAGGAGGAGGAGGAGGAGGAGGAGGGGGAGAAGGATTTGTTGAGATGGATGTGTGGGTGGAAGTTGTGTGAGTTGGGATGTAGCGGAGTAGGTAGGGGAGGAAGGAAGTTGGGCTGAGATTTTATATCAAATTACTTCTATTCAGAAAGGAAGATTCTATGAATTCATTTCCTATGAGGTAGAAAGATCCAGATCATGACTTATCCTTTCCTTCCTCTAGAGATAGAGATAGAGGAAAAGATGTTATAGTCCACCCTCTCTCCACCTTTCCTCAAAAATCCTGCTCGCTTCACCATCACTTCATTCCATTCCATGAGGTCAAAAGAGATGGTGTAAAATAATGTTTCATTAACAGGTCTCATGTATTAACCGTGGAAGATGCCAGATCCTAGGCATGAATGATCTGCTGCAGGTATCGTATCCCAAGCAAGTGCCAGTGCAAGTTTGCAGCAAGTACGCCATGCGAGTGCAACCCCCCAACCCCAACCTACCGAATCCCACAACACCAAAGCTGCCCAAATGCAAGTATGCAAGAAAAGCAAACCAAAAACAAAACAAACCGCCTAACAAACTTTACCAAGAAATGAAGGTTATAAAATAAAAAGCAGGACTCCGACGAGTTTCCCGCGGTAAGTAGGTAGGTAGATAGCAGTGAGATCCTCACATACTACCATCCTCCCCAACCAAAGCCTCCACCTCAATCGAGACCTTCATCCCGGGAAACGCCAGCTCCTTTACCCCCGTCGCCGTCCAAATCGGCTTATGCCCCGGAATCCTCTCCTTCAGCTTCCGCACTATCAGATCAAAGCTAACACTAAGATCGGTATGAAAACTGCGCACGGCAAACACATCCTCCCAGCCCTTGAGGCCTTGCGAGCGGAGGATGGCATCGATGTTGTCGAACGCCAGGTCCACCTGCAGCATGATGTTCTTCTCGTCGATCTTGCCGTTGTTGTCCCATCCCCCCTGTGCGGCGACGCGGCAGGTGTTGCCCACGATCACGGACTGCGAGTAGTGGCATAGCTCGCTGAATTTGTGGCCCGCGTCATTGCCGTTGGAGAAGGGGAGGGAGTGCATCTTGATGTTGGACACCTTGATGCGGCGCTTTTTTATGGGCTTGCCGTCTTTGCCTATTGAGGCGGGGTCGGAGGGGGCGCGGGAGTGCGAGGAGTTGGGGTTGCGGGAGACATAATCTGGAGGGGGGCCGGCTATGGCTTTTGCTCTGGGATCAGATGTTAGTAGATTGATTCCAAGAGATATGAAATCATCTGAGGGGTATCTGGGAGCAACGTACTTTTCGAAAATTCCTGGGAGATGCATCTTGACGATGTTATGTGTATGTGATCTTCCGGAGTTGGGAATAAGTTGTGAATGGTATGATGAAGTATTATTTCAAGAAGCAAGAGGGAAGACGAGATTCGATAATCTGGGGAGAACGGTTCGTCTTATAAGTGCCAATGAAGAAAACATAATGGTCAGGTCACCTTTTTAGAGACAGGGACCCGCGCGGGGAGAGAGCAAAATGCGAAACTCACTGTCAGAGTGTCCGGATTTCTAGAGTCCGCGTCGTTCTTGGGAAGACGTTCGGTGGATATTCCCGATGAAGCTGCCAGAGTTCCATACCCAAGTAAAGACCGAGAGAACGACGCCAAGGGTTAATTTATACCTGGGCGCCAAGGCAACCTTATAGATTTGTTGGGACGATAACGAGGCATAGAATGAAGAAATCATGGTCAATTGAGGATTTTGAATTTTGGATGACGAGGCAGTTGCTTTCGAAACGAGAAATTGTATGTAGAGAAAGTTAGCGATGGTGATGGAGCCAAAATGAAGTTGAGTTGCGGTAGAGAATAGTGTGCACGTGTACGAGTTCAGAGCAGCCAAGCTATCGCTATGAAGCTTAAAGGACCTTGTTGTGCTTCATCTTTCTCCTGGCCAAGAGCCGAGTCAGTCCAATCTCGAAACGATATCAGTTGGGGGTAAGGCAAGGTTCTCCTCATTATAAGCGCAAAGGTCCATAATGTGAGCTTATTTCAGCGGGGAAGCAGTGCGAGGAGGAGGTACGAAACAAGGGGCCTCTTTTGATATTGGAGGGGATCAGAGAATTGGGTCCACCACAATTATGTTGTACCACACACATGAGCACCTCCTCTTAAAGATTGGATGCCTAGCGTTCAAAGTTCACAGATCAGACGAAGACTCACTTGATCGACTCAATTCCGCTAAAGCGTCAATGCAGCGAGATACGAATTAGGGGATTGCCCAATCTCGGGAGAGAAGAATGACTTGTAAGTCAATCAATGATCATCATTCGGGTTGTGAAGCCAGCAGAATTGCATAAAATGGATAATGGGCAAATGTTGGTACAGGGTGTTCTCGCACCTAGGACATCTATTCCTCCATTTTATCCTTGTCATCATCTTTCGTCTCTTCATCGTCTTCCTCACCTTCCAAATGTTTCTTTGCTAATCGCTCGGCTTCCTCCAAAATATCCTTTGGTACTTCTTCATGTCTTCCTTTCGTAGGACCATCCAAATTGCTAATCCAAGTCATCTCCAACTCAAACTCCTTGTCCTTGTTATCAGCATGTGCAACATAGATGATTCTGGCAGCCTCCTTGACACCATCCTCGAGACTCAATTTACCAGCAGCCAAGTCCAATTTCTCCAATTCTGCTTTGGCGGTTTGTCGTCCTTTCCCAGTTGCTGCACCATAGTAACCCCAGTACATCCCACTCGGCTCAATCATGTAAAGTCCTGGTCCACCATATGTCTTCCCCTCGACCTTGCCTCCTGCACCACTAATTGGACCACTTCCAACTTGGCCATCCACTGGAAGTTCGAGCTCGGAATCCCAGCCTCCTACAATTGCTGTGATACCAAAAGGTCGTACGGAGGAGTAAAGGGTGTATGCTTGAAGATATCCGCCCATTCGGCTTGCAAGATCCTTGACTGTGATGGGGGTTTTGTAGACTGAACGCCAGTTGGCAGCTTCATCGCGTGCGTGAGATACAAAGTGTCTACCGTCGGGTACGAGTCCAGATGATACCTGTGATGATGTTAGGCGTTGTACTGTTTCATTATGATGTGCAAGTCTTGGGAGCAAAACATACGGCACCAATATGTCTGTCAACAGTCGCAATACGTTTGTTTGCACCAGCCTTTAATAGCTTGCTTGAGATGACCTTCTCCACAGCCAGCACTACTCCATCTTTGCACCGGATTCCGATGGATGTTCCTCCGTTCTCTACTGCCTTGACTGCATACTCGACTTGGAAATTCCGGCCATCTGGGGAGAAGACGGAGTTGGAGAGATCGTAACCTGTACCTATTGACGTCTAGCTACGGTCAGTTTATGAGCTCTGGTGGGGCCTAGTCATGTTATTTGGAGATAAGTTGTAGCATACCATGATGGAACCGGGTTTATTGGGAGGTTCAGGTTCGGAGGTACAGAGTTGGATGTAATTGTGGGTGTGGGATTGCCGTAGCTCTGCTTATTGAAGCTCACGAAGCTCTAGCCAGGCATCTGAAGCCGCGTCTGATCGAGCTTGAGGTTAAGGCTGCCATAAGGCTGCAGCTTACATAATCGGATTGATACAAGTCACCTGATCGTTCCCCCTGGCTTACAGTGGAGGTGCAGGGCATCCACGCCCGAGTGGTTCCATTGAAATGTTCCCCCGATTCCCCTGACCAGGAGGCGTACCAAGTGCTTCTATTAAAATTCCAGCCTTCTTTTTGAGTCATATTCTATATCTTATCCTCGTATAATTACTTAGATTTTGATCAATGTTGTCAGCTACCTACTTTTTTATGAAACCACTCTCTAAGTAAGGACTGCAGCAGCTAGTTGTGTGGTTTGGGTTTGATCTCCTCTCAGTGGATGGTCAGTCTAGAGATGAGGGTCAGATGTCCTGGCGTGTCGTATCACGATTGGCTTCACAGTTGGCCGATTCCCAACAAGACGCTAACTACCAAGTTGATTTGCAAATTCCCAGGCTTGTCCACCTAGATACTGTCTACCGCATTTTGGTGGTTGGGCAGCGGCGCTTGATGCAGGCGAATGGAGTGAATATAGACCCGTCATTGTGCCTGCCCCTGTGAGTGTTGTGGCTGCCGTAGGTGTGGGTGTGGGTGGGTACATTAGAAACATTCACAGGGAGGGAGAGGGGTAGTCGTCGTTGGGCAGTTACTAAGGAGCCCTCCTTAAATAACTTCATCTCCTACCTTTGATCCTCATCCTCCTTTCAACACCCACACCCACACCCACACCCACACCCACACCCACGACCGACCATCCGATCCGACCCCTCTCTTTGAGAACTCTGCATTCAGACCATCTTCATCGCCACGTTGTTTGCTCCTCTGAACTCATCGCATCATCGGGGACATCGCACGTACCCCGCAACTCCCAAACTCCCAAACTCCCACTGTCACCAACACCAACAGAATCGACCGATCTCCAGATTTGTTTGACCGCTTACCCTCCCTTGAACTCTCTCAAGTCGTCAAGTACATACACATACATACTCATAGCTTAGAGAAAATAAAAGCAAACAAGCATCGTTCCACTGTCCACAGTCTGCTCTGCTGCCCCGAGTATCCCGTCTGCGTCCCTGCTGCCAATTTGCTCCTGCCACTCTAGCTTCTCATTCCTTCCAAGCTCCAGACCGATTCCCTTTCTCCTCCCTTTCCTGGCATCTCGTCAGAATCAGACAGACAAGCTGGCTCTTTGCAGAGCTACACTTGAGCATCTCCAAGTACTTCGCAGCAAGGTATGCTGCTTGCCCCACGGATCTCCATTAGACTAACCGTCATAGAACAGTTCCCTGCCAAATACTCTGGACTCGCCTACCATGTCTACTCAAGAAGAACTTGCAACCCTCTTTGCTAGAAACCTCCATCTAGACAACAATTATGTTGCCCCTCAACCCGAAGCCGCACCGGCACCTGCACCGGCCCCCGTAGAGGAACCATATGTGTACTCGATATCACAACACTATCACCACTCAGCACACGTTGTACCACAACAACAACCAGCAAGACCAGCCTCGGAGCCTCCTCGAACTGATCAGCTTACTACCGAAATTATACTTGCTAGACACGGAGTAGATGTTAGCACCCTCTTCCCTTCACAGCTCGACTTGTTCAAGACGGCCGATGCCGGTCAACAGATGAGACTGGTCGAGCTGTGGAGAATTTGCCCACCGGACTATGGCGGACATGCATTGACACAGGATCACTGGCCTGCGACCTCGTTCCAACAGGAAGAATCTATGGCAAAATTACGATACGAGCGTCAGATGTTGGAAGAACGCGCCTCAAGAACCAATGGAGACCAAAGTATGGATAGCGATACCATGAGCGAAACTAGCAATAGTCCTCTCACCCCAATTCAAGGTGGCGATGGAAGATGGGCTAATGTCCCTTCCTGTGCTGAACCATACATGATGTCTGGGTACGAAGCTCTAGCTCAACGAGAATACGAGCAATCTGCATTGGCTGCTGGTCCATCCAAAGATGTATACTCACATTTCGGAACATCGGGACCGCAATACAACCCCTCTACTGATCCTGTCTACAACCAAGAAAGTCACCACTGCCCTAACGGCGGCGACTGGGCTCAACGGATGGCTATGGAGAACCAGTACGGGGCTTTCGAGCAACAACAATATCAACACAATGGAGGACCAGTGGTTAGTGGATACGGTGAAGACGAAGAGATGTTGTAGATACACACACTCAGCATAGGTATATAGCTTGATTGGCAACTTGCTGGTCATAGATTTAGTTGGACTTTTGTCGATGGATTTACCTGATAAGCGGGGATGGGCATCATTGTTTCTGGCGCATGGCATTACAGATTGGTACATATGGCATATTAGGGTATGGGGGGTTTCTTCATGAGTTATGAATGCGTGGCATTTTATGATAATGGGCGAAGGACTTGTGGGAAGGTTCTATAGGCATTCTACTCTCTTCGTCTTCATGTTTTTTTCTCTTCATGTATCATGTCTTTGTCTTTCTTGATCGATGTAATGGGGGTACTCGTACCGGGATCCGAATTTCCTTTGTGAGGTACGTAATTGATTCATCCTCACTCCTCCCAGGACACACCTCTTCCTCCATCCCTTCCTTCCTCCCTTCCCTTCCTCCCCTACACAATACAACTCTACAGGCCTTCCCACCTCTTCTCTCGAGGTACGTATCGAACCATCATCCCTTCCAGAACCACCATTCCCTTCCCTTGACTCCCCTCCTTCCCTTCACCGGCATGGAAACAACCCTTACAGGACCACACTAAGCTACCTCCTTTACTTGTCGAAGTCGTCCTCGAGGTACGTACGCGTCTCACCAATCCCTACCACCCCTCTTACGAACGCAAGGCAATAAGGTCTTACTACTCACCTGAAAGCAAGGTTCCTTCCTGGAGGTTTCCCCCTGGTTTTGATCTGGATCTTCTTGGATTTCGAATGTGCTCCCTTGTTTTGTGTGTTGGGTTTGATTTGATCGTTTGATTTTGATTGGACTGTTTATTAAAACGAATATAAATTTCGATCTTACATGTGATTTGTAATTTGTGAATACCAGGTTTTCCTTTAATTGTTTTCTTTTTTCCTTTTTGGGTGTTCTTGTACTTGCTGGGCATATACATGTGTATATACGAGATTCAGGAAAGTGATATAAATAGAAGTAGGTAATTTATAGTAAATGAGGAAGACAAGTACGGGGGGAATATATTATGTATTTCCCCTCCATCATCAACACCACAACATTATCGTCCGTCCGACACACTATCGGAGCTCTTTAGCCTCTTTTTGCTCAGCATTCTCCTTTTAATAATAAGCTATAAGCTAAAATATCGATATGCTATGCATACAGAGAAGAGAGGTCTTGCCGCGGTTTGTAAGGGCGGGAAATCGCGCTCTTCGATAGGTGGTGTAGAGAAGGACCTTTCACGACCTTCCTGATCCTGAGCGTGGCCTGAGCCGTAGCTAGGGTAGAACTCTAGGCATGATAGGTATGACGGCGATGCTGTTTTGTACTTAGGCATGTGTATACGTGGGATTAGGAACGTGATGTATGTTATAATTTATAGATTTGATTTTAGGGAAGAAGGGAGGGGGGGTTTTTTTCTAGTATTGTTTATTAGAGGGGGGGGGGGG